CTTGCTCAGCGGATGGCACAAAATGTCAATCATATTATAGAACTAGTTTTTTTGTCCTTTTTGGTTGTTGGCCTATTTTGTTTAATTTGTATATATTAGGTGATATGTTCTAAAACAAAAGTCATAAAACTTGGTTTTCAAAAGTATTAGGAGTTCAGTTAATTTTTCATGTGACGTCAATTTTTGTTGGTTATTTCGGTTTGTAATGTTGGGACCTTTTTATTTTTTAGAAATATAAGAGAACATCTCAAATATTCAATTTAAAAAAATTGAAGAAGAAGATGAAAATGCTCACTTAGAGGATTCTATCAACCTCGTGGTTATGATTTTCACAAAACATATATAGAAAATGTGTGTTACAAACAACGGTGTGATGAATCAGCTTTCAAAAATGAAAACTAGTAAAGTGTAGTTGTGATAAAATAATGCTTTTTATTTGAATAGTGTTATGCATGTTTTAAATCTGTGTTATATGTTCTTGATTCAATATTTAATGACTTCGCTTATAAAGTGCCCTCTATAACTATATTTTTTGGATTTGTCTCTAGGTTGGATGTTTAATGGGTTGTTTAGTAAACGGCGTTTCAGCCAAAAAATGGCGGTTTGACCACTTTCAATGTTTTCAACAAGTGCAAAAGATGGTTGGTAAATAGCGGTTCAACACTAGCGTTTTGAACGAAAACGCTAAAATGAAAAAGATGCTAATAGGAGAGTTTTGGGTTGGCGTTTTGAAAAATGACGTTTTCTATTAATTTCATGGCCAAACAGCTAAATTATCAAACATCCTCTAACAACACGCAAATTTATTCCGCTAGTCAAACCCGTTGATTGAATCCGCTATTGACAATCCGCTAACATAATCTGCTATCCGCTGAATGTCAAACATGCTCATTGCCTTCTAGAAGAGGCAGATGCTCTTTGTGTTTCAAAGGCTTTAAAGTTTTTTCAAACGCGAGCGAACGTACCCCTTCGGTCAAGAGGGGTCAAGCCCCCCAACCTATTTTTTTAGTTAATAGTAGTAAGAATGTTTTCTTTTGGATTGTTTTCAGTCCCAGATCAGACCAGACTTGACCAGGCCAGACTAGATTAGACCGGACCAGACTTTCGTAGTTATAAAATACACAGAGACCAGACGTTTACCTGACCAGTTCAGACCAGACCAGACTAGAAAATTTCAGTCCAAAAGAAAACATCCTAAGCCTTTACTACTATTCCTTTTACTCACCAACCCTGTACCTTTTACTCACTTACTTGGGCCTTTAAGCCCCATACAGAGTCAAATCATTTAAAGCCTAAAAAATTGAAGTATATATTTATCTATATAATATAATAAAACAAACTCTTGGAGATAAAGTTGTGTTAACTGATTAACAAAATCACCAAATGTCCTTGTACTTTTTCAGTTGTATTGGTAATTTGGTTTAGTATCCCAACTCTACAATAAAATTGTATAATAATCCATAAACTATTTAAAAGTTAAAGTAAATAATAAAGTGTGTTAAAATTGTAATATTTCTTAAATAACTAAATTTGTTTTTATAATTAATACTCACTGATTTTTAATTAATTATTCAAGTAGTAAATCATAATCCAATTTGTGACATGTTAATAAAATAAAAATCACTAAACACCCCCTTGCCTTAATTGGATATTTCCCTTTAAAAAGGCTATATATGTTTTCTCTGCGAAAATCACTTGAATTGAATGGCTTAGACTTGTTGACTCTCTTAGTGCAGACCGCCGCATTGATGATAAACATGTTCTATTTGAATTTTATTGTGAATTCGATTTCTAGCGACTCTGGATTTTTCATGGTTTTCAAATCAGTGTTACAAAATGAACACCTTAATTTATGCCAAATAATGATTCATGTGTTACTCCGGTCTGGATTTCCCTGGACAGTCCCCCATTCGCTTGTTCAAAAAACCTGCACTTTTTTCAATTGTTGGACTGATTGGAAAACTTATTTAATACATTCACCTTAAGACTATCCTGGTCGCCCACAGCAAGGATATGTATTGATGTGGATGTTTCTATCAGTCTATCATCTAAAATATGGATCAATCATGGCTGTACTAGTTTTTTTCACATTGTTCCTTCCGAAGATGTTCCTATGTTCTGCAACGTCTGCAAAAAAATCGGTCACCTTATTAAAAACTGAAAAACAAGAATTTGCCTCTAATCCACTTCATCCAAGCCTTCCCCTATCTAAAAATGGTTGCCCTTAAAGTTCAGCCAACGGTGAATTCGACCTTGTGGTCCTAGGTCATCCTAGGGTGTCCTTCAATGATCCAATTGCGGAGGAACACCCTACAGATAAAGATAAAAATGAAAATAATGTGGTCATCATTTGTGGAACTGAAATTGAACCCGAAGTCTCTGCCAATTTCATTACTGCTAATGTTTTGGAATCTCTTGCCAAGGAGCATGAGGTTGCCTTAACAATCGAGTCCCTGATCATTACACCAGAACTTTTTCTGGAGCCAGCTATCCCTACCAACTCATGTGGAAAGGTCATGAGAATTACAAAACACATGAATAAGCCAAATGAAAAATGTCCCATTAACCTAGCGAAGGATAATCCGTCCCAAACCACTCAATTCACAAAATCCCTGACCTTTTATAAATCGCACCCCCAAAACAGTCTCGAATATAATGAACCAAATAGTTTATCCCTTACAAATATATTGATTGAAGAGGATACTTTAGACGATTTCAATCTGGTGGTCCCCATAAAAAAAAAGAACGAGCAACTAACACCAATTCATTTCAACTCAGGTGCCAGAAATCAATAACAGAGGATATGGTCAACAAATGCTAACAAGGTGCAAACCAAGTCCGGACAAACAGAGTTCGTGTTCTATGTATATCCGGAAGAACACAAATATGAAACACAAATATGAGTGGACCGAAAAACCGGTGCAATGGTTGGCCTGGTACCGCCGATCACATCTTGAGAAGAACATTTTCCCTCCATACCTTCAAAGGGCCGGGCGATCAAATTTTATCACAAATACAATAAAGATCTGTCAGTGCAGGTTTTGTAACCTTTTACTATTTGATTCCGCGTGTTTAATTTTTCTCGAGTAGACATTGGCTTGGCCCTCCTACTCTTTGTATTGTATCTATCCTTGATAAATCGGTGAGGTGTTCAGTGGACCTCACCCCAACACCTTTGGGTATTATATTGGTTTGGCACTGGGAATAAAAAAAGCCCTTACAAACACTCCCTAAATTTGATGCTTCTGGTTTTAGATTCTTTAAACAAAAAACATAAGTGCATGGCATTAGGAGGGATAGTTAAGTTAAATGCATGAGGATGGATAGTTAAGTAAAATACATTTAGAAATTTCCAGATTTAGGGTTAATTTAGTCCCATTTTGGAAAGTAAAAAAAGATTCTTTTTTGTCCATAACTTATTTTTAGTAATATTCATGTCAAACCCCTATATTAAAACTCCAATATAATCAATTTGTTTCATTTACCCGTCTCAATTGTCATTGAGTCCACTTGGGTTTTCCTATTTTTAATTTATTTATCAAAATTTTATCATATTGAAATTCAGTTTTTGGGTTCAGTAAAACTTATATTTTAGTTCGTTAAGTGTGTAAACATTGCTTACAAAAACAATATGCGTTTACAAGGGGAAATTAGTCGATGCTCAATCAACATCGTAAATTATTGAAATATGTTTAGACCATTTGACTATGCAATCTGCAAATTGTACTACGTAAACTACTATGCTAATATTCAAAATATTAAAATGACAAAAAAATAATATTATTAACGGATAAGATTATTTTTCTCTATCATTATACTTGAGCTTATTTAATGGTCATCCAACGGTGCTAACTTCTCAATAACTACTTGAAGAGGGATATTTAAATCCATTAAAAAGAATGTACACTGATTTAATAAAACAGTACAACATCTTAAGCTTATAATAGATGTATATAATTCAAGGGCACTAATTTTTTCACCATTATAATATTTTTAGAAGATTAGATTAGATACATTTTTTTTGGAAAAGAAGATTTTATTGATATGATATAAAATAAGAGTACAATGTGTGAAAGGAAGAAATAAGATAAAAGTACACGAAAGAAGAAATAGAAGTGCTAAATGAAAGGAAGAGCAATACAAAAAAGAAAAAAACTAATCCCAGGCAAATCTCTAGATTGGGTTCTAGTTGTCATGTTGTGATGTCTTTTGTTCTTTTGAGATTTACTGTAGATTTGAAGCTGCGTGTTCAAGTTCTCACTTGACAGGCAATTATCAGGGGTTATGAAATTAGCTCTGTGGCAAATCGCGGTGTTGAATTTGGATTTCCTAATTCCTTCCGGCTAAGAAATAGGAGGATGACGATCGCTCTCGATTGCATGTCCCAAGAAGTCATCTGTAAAGATTGAATCATATGATCAAAGTCGTGAGAGGCATTTGAGTAAGCCTGATTCAATGATCATGCAAGATAGACCTAAAACTTATATTTCAGGCCCCTTTCACTTGAGGTGCTTCTGAGTCGAATTTTTTTGATGAATATTTGCGAGTGTGTTCTCCATGAAGTCTAGGATATGCATACTAAATTCCAACTTCAAATCCAGTATGGAAATCAATTAAATAAATTATTGAAAAAACTGAATTTATATATATAAAGCAACTCAATTTTCAATAATTTTTTAGCTGAACTTGAAGCTAAAATTTGGTGGACATAATATGCACTTCACGAAGAATATACTCACAAAATTTCATCAAAAAATTCAACCCGGAAGGACTTCACATGTCTAAGTTCAATTTTAACAAAATTTCATCAGTCTTCTAAGTTAACCTAATACTTTTTAAAATATACTACTATGTTTTATTTATGTTCTAATGTTCATTAAGTATCTAATAATTCCGACTAAACCTAAATTAGCAAGTTCATTAGACACATTCATACAAAACCACTATAGAAAACACAAACTTGAGCAATTTGGTAATTTGTGTAAAGGCTAGGGGAGTATGTTGGATTTAAGTTGTTGAAAACTTGGCAACCCTAAAATCATATATCCCTCCCTCCATACTACAAACCCCTGGGTTTAGGTTGTTTGCATCGCTACTGCTGGTTGGAGGAATGGGTCGGAAACAACACGAAATCGAGAACCAGGATACGAAGTCTAAGAAGAAGCACAAGAGAAAGCCTGAACATCATGAGGTCGAGCCATCCCCAGTTCCCGAGCCAGAAACAGTAAGAGAGTCAAATAAAGAGAAGAAAAAGAAGAGGAAAAACAAGCACAAATCTGATGGAGAGGCCGAAAATCATGATCAGGAGCTCGGAAGTCTTAACGGGTCGGCAGATAAACCGAATGAAACGAAAGTCCAGGAAGGACAAGAAGGAACAGAGCTTTCGAACAATGGGACGGTTGAGGTCGAATTAGGCAGTGAGGGAGTTTTCGTTTCTGGGAAAGACGTGCAGGATTTGAAGTTTAAGGCTTTGGAGAAGTTTTCAGACTCCGGGCTTCCTGATAAAGTGTTGGAGTGCTGCAAAGGTTTTGTTAAGCCATCTCCAATTCAGTCACATTCATGGCCATTTCTTCTGAATGGTCGTGATTTTATTGGGATTGCCAAAACAGGGTCAGGTATTGGTCATGTTAGTTCTTCTTTTGTTTTGATTGTTTTTGTACTGTTGTAATTTTTATGTTAATCTGTCTATGTATGATCAGGTAAGACATTGGCATTTGGCATCCCAGCTATAATGCACATTATGAGCAAACGAAAGGGAAAAAAACCAAAAAATCCGCTATGCCTTGTGCTTTCACCCACTAGAGAGCTTGCTCAGCAAGTATGTGCTCCAAACGTTATGCATAGATTCACTCAACTGCAATTATTTTTTCTATAGTAGATATAGAGTAATGCTAGAGAGCATTATGTGGATGGTCTCATGATTACTTGACACATTTGACTGGACTATGAAAAGTTAGACTTGTGATCATCATGTAGGAATGTCTCTCGGAATGTCCACGTGCAATATTTACCTAGCATTACAGTGTAAATATATACTCGTTCCATTAGGCTTTTTGACCAAAATTAAGAGTATAACTTTAGTCGTGGTGAGTAGTGCATAAAGAGTTAACAAGTAGAAGACAAAAAAGGTATTTATGAGTAAAACAGCGAAAAGTTTGAAAGCAAAAACGCCAAGAAAGGGCAGTTACGAGTTTTGATACACTTATTTTAAAAAAATGTAAGTGGATCAAGAAATAATAAGATACCATAAAAGGAAATTGCTATAGTTGAGCAAGTAAAAGTGAACAGAGGGAGTATTTATTAATGTGGGCTTTGCACGTTTACTGGCAGATTTCGGATGTTCTATGTGATGCTGGAAAGCCTACTGGAACTGAATCAGTTTGTGTTTATGGAGGAACATCCAAAGGACCCCAAATATCTGCTCTGAAATCTGGAGTGGTAATCTACACACTTTCTACCTTATCGGCTAAGATATGCTTCTCGCATTCTATATTTAATTTTTTCTCCATCTGCATTTTAGTGTCTTATTAGTTATTAGATTGATAAACTTTTCGATTTCCTGTTGTAAATTGGTATATGCAAACTTCCATTTCATACCTCCAATTTGCTTTATCATTCAGGACATGGTAATTGGTACTCCTGGTCGCCTGAAGGATTTGATTGAAATGGGCTTCTGCCACTTAAACGAAGTGTCTTTTGTTGTAAGTCTCAACATTATATAAGATTTTAATCTTGCTATTTTATTTTAATGAAAAGCCTCACAATAGGTTTAGGCTTTAGATTATTGATGTCTTCTTCAAAATGAGAGCATTTGAACTTCATGAAAGAAGAGCTAATGATAATCAGTGAAGTTTAGAACCATTATTTTTTATAGAGAAACAAATATGGTTGTCATTGTCACTTGTGAAATAGATCAGCATCAGAAGTAGCTGGAAAGTGATGAAGTTGGAAAAACACTTGGAATTAATTGTATAGTTATTGTCTGCGACTACATGTGAAGTCTGATCAAAATGTTGATGCTATATGACCTATATATCCTGTGACATGTGAAGGTCCTCTTGATGTCATTAAAAATATTGAATTATTTGTGGTTTAGGTTCTTGATGAAGCTGATCGGATGCTTGATATGGGATTTGAACCAGAGGTTCGCTCTATATTGAGCCAGACATGTTCTGGTAAGGGATATTCAAGACTTCTAGTATCTGCTCATTGATGGTTGTTATGTGTTGCGTTGGTTCACAATTTTTTTTAAAGAAATATGAATAAATTCCCCCGAACCCCATTTCTTTAATTTGATCATTTAATCCCATGTTCACATTTTTTCCTATGTGAACTCTTTGTTTTACTTCATCTTTCTAAGTGATCTTGTTTGTTTATGCAGCTCGCCAAATGGTTATGTTCAGTGCCACATGGCCCCCGCCAGTTCATCAATTAGCTCAAGAGTTCATGGACCCAAACCCCGTAAAGGTTTGGTTGTGTACTAGATTATATATAGAATAAGTTATTAAACAAATAAAAAAATACACATGAGTGATATGCTACTATGTATTACATGAGTGAAAAAATTACATGAGTACAAAATTCTGAAGTTTGAATTTTGTTTCAGGTAGTTGTAGGATCTGAAGATTTAGCGGCCAACCATGATGTCATGCAAATAGTGGAGGTACATTTATACTAAGCTGAAGATCATGAGACTGACTTTTTTTCCATTCAATGAATGCCAACTTTGCCTGTTGTCTGCAGGTTTTAGAGGATAGAGAACGTGACGAAAGACTGCAAAATCTGTTAGAAAAGTATCACAAGAGTAGAAGGTATATGGTCCCCCGGGTACCAAGTCATTTCTAGTTGGTCAATCTAATCTCTAGCCTCAACTTCAATGCTTACATTTCTACCCAAAGCTATTTGTGTTAGACTAGTGCTGATATAAACGGTTTTAACATTGTACAGGAATAGAGTATTGGTTTTTGTATTATACAAGAAGGAAGCATCACGTGTTGAAACCATGCTACAGAGGAGGTAGTGTGAGATTTGACATTGCTTAGTAATTGTTATTCTTAGCCTTGAGCAAGCACAATTTTTTTTTACAGTCACCTTAAATTAGCATTACTTTGATCATGAACTTAGGTTTCTGGCTCTTGGTGTCCAGTTGGAACCCAATATATGAGAAAATACTAGGAAAAGAAAATGTGTGAGGTGGGGGTGGGGGAGAGGTATATAAAAACTCTGATATGTATGTATATTTTATGTACAAATATAACGTGTGTAAAAAATTGAGCTAAGGGTCAGATTGGTACTTGAAGTTGCATGAAAAGGGTCAAATAAGTCCTTACTGTCCGGCCGTCGCCATTTGAGGCGGTTCCCGATAGATTTTTTTGATAAATTTTTTCGAACATCTTATTCATTAAGTCTAGTTTACTCATACCAAATTTCAGCTAAAACTTCAATCTGGAAGGCATTCAAATGAATTCTTGAAGATAATTGCGCTTCTAACTGCGCAGTTATCTTCAAGAATTCATTTGAATGTCTTCCTGATTGAATTTTTAGCTGAAATTTGGTGCGAGTAAACTAGACTTAATGAATAAGATGTTCAAAAAAATTCGTCAAAAAATTCCACCGGGAACCGCCCCAAATGGCGACAGCTGGACAGAGCCTCCTATATAAGGACTTATTTGACACTTTTTATGCAATTTCGAGTACCAATCTGTCACTAACCTCGTAAAAAATATATAAACACTCATTTTAAAATGTTTTTATGTGCAAATGTATTGTACATATATTGTAATTGTTTCAATTATATAAAGTCTCTAATCTAGATAATATGTAAAAATTTAAAATACAAAATAAAAATCTCATTTTTCTTTTTTACATAAATACTTCCTCTGTTGTTTTTTTAGTTGCAACGTTTCCATTTACACATTTTCCAACATACAAGTTTGACCATTTATATATTTCATTACTTATTAGTAAAAAAATCAAAAACTCAGTTTTTGAAAATTTAAAATAGGAGGAATTTATCGATATGTTTCAAAAATTAAAGAGTCAATTCCCTAAATAGGACTAAAAAGTGGCAAAATTGCACAAATAGGACTAAATTTTTTTAAATTCCCTTAATAGGACTATTTATGTGTGTTTGGACAAATATACCCTTGTAACTTGTAAAATGTTTTAATTAATAATAAAATCATAAAAAAAATAATAAAAATCGAAAAAAATACTAAAAATCGTAAAACAAATAATAGAAAATTAATAAAAATATTTTTTGAAAAAATAAAAAAAATAAAAAAAAAAATAAAAAAAAAAAGAAAATCATAAAATTAAAAAAAAAACAATACCACCCCTGCCACCCCCAGCACCACCAGCTCCCATCACCGGAGAAAAATATGCCAACATTTTAAATAATGCCATAATGATGGCATATTCAATGAAAATGTTGGCATATTGAAGAGTAATTATGCCATCTTTTTGGCATTTTCAAAAAAATATGGCATTTTTTTACCAAAAGTGGAAGAAATTTCACCAATTGGAGGTGGTGGTGCTGGGAGGCGGCGGGAGGCGGTGGGAAAGGTATCCATAATTTTTTTCATTTTTTATGGGTTTTTACTATTTTTTATTATTTTTTAAAAAAATCAAAAAAATAAAAATTTGATTTTTTTATTTTATAAATGTTTTATAAATTTTTTATAATTTTTTTATAATTTTTTTAACGTTTTTAAAATATTTTTACGTTTTTTATGATTTTTATTATGAATTAAAGAATTTCATTATAAATTAATACTCTAAGGGGTATTTAGGGTAGAAAATCAATGTTTAGTCCTATTAAGGGAATTTTAAAAGTAGTAGTCCTATTTGTGCTTTTTAGGAACTCATTAGTCCTATTTAGGACAATTTCCGAAAATTAAATTCATTAGACATTGATAAATAAAATGTAGTCAAAGTTGAGCAGGTGAATAGTGTAAAGTTCAACATGTTGCAACTAAATTAGAACAGAGGTAGTATAATTTAACATTTTCTGGGATCTAATTATACCCTAGCTATCTGATACCCTCCCATAAGAACTTGTCTGTTTTGGATCCATATACCATTGCTGATATTCCTTCCACTATTAAATGTGATTATGGTCTCCAGGGGTTGGAAAGCAGTTTCTATAAGTGGTGACAAGGCACAACGTGCACGCACAGAGGCTTTAGCACAATTTAAGGATGGAAGCTGTCCCTTGTTGGTATACATTTTTCTTCTCTTTTTCAATTTATTTGAAGTTACTCTTTGTTATTAACCACCACATACGAATATCTGGAACAACTTCCAGTTATATTTATTTGATAATCATTTATCAAAAATGAAAGAGCTAAACATTTTGCAGATAGCCACAGATGTAGCAGCTCGAGGACTGGATATTCCTGATGTTGAAGTTGTGATTAATTATAGTTTTCCTCTGACAACAGAGGACTATGTGCACAGAATAGGAAGGACTGGAAGAGCTGGTAAAAAAGGTGTAGCTCATACATTCTTCACCAAAGAAAACAAGGTAACTATTCTGTATTTCCAGCAACGACCCTTAGTTGTCTTGCGTTTTGATTTTTCTTTGATGACCCTGATAACTCCCATTGCAAATTTGATGACCTCTGTCCCCAAAAAACATATTTCAGTCTTTTCTGTCCCAGAAGAGTCCTATTTCGTTACATGTAGCTCATTTTTCTTGTAATTTGCCAAAATCAGACTCACAGTTACTATCAAGTTCAATATGACATATTTCTGTTAAACAGACAGAAATAAATTTATAGGATTATAAGTAGAATGCATTGATTTTTAGTAGTACATTGTCAAAATAAAAGGCTTTATCATGCCTTATCATGATTTTTTCAGTGTATTATAAAATCAATATGCACACCGATATGACCTGTACAGTTTTGACTCGAAACAATTGAAATTTATGCAGGGACTCTCAGGGGAATTAATTAATGTTCTTAAAGAAGCAGGACAAGTTGTACCATCTGACCTAATGAAATTTGGTACCCATGTGAAGAAAAAGGTAACTCTTCCTGACGCCTTTAGAGCATCTATTCAAATTGCACAATTGTTTCCCATTCCTCTGTGTGTGTGTGTTGCCATCTTAACTGACCATTGACGGCCCGATTCAGGAGTCAAAGCTTTATGGTGCCCATTTCAGAGAGATAAATCCTAACGCTGCAAAATCTACCAAGATAAAATTCGACAACTCCGACGATGAAGATTAATTTTGATGCAAAAGTGATAAGACATAAATTTCGACAATTATTGTGATTAAGATTGATTGGCTTTGAGATATTACCTTCACTCCAAGGAGCATATTGAAAAGATGAATGTTAGTGGTAGAAGAAAGTCAAGAAACTCAGTTATCCACACCAAACATAACAGTATTTGTACCATTAGTTATTCTTTCCTTCCACCCGCAAGTTTTTTACTACACACTTTGTCCGTTTGTTCCTGTCCTTATTTAAGTTATTTTTGTCTCTATTACATTCCGTTTCTATTATTACAACTATTGTAAAACTGCTTCACAAAATTTTGTTATTTATTGTATTTCACTCCTTGTAGGTTCGTATATTATTTTTTAGGGTAATGTTATACAATTTGAGTATGTACCTGAATTTTATTATTTTAAGAGAAATTTGTTGATTTAGTCCCGTAACTTATAGCTATACCCGATATTGGTCCTGTAACTTGATTAACTTGTAGATTACATCCCGTAACTAATAAGTTGGTGCAATTTTGGTCCTTCTCTGCCAGAACTTACCAATTTCGCCGGAAAAGACACATCACCTGCCACATGGTATATTATTTGGAATTCATTTGCTGACTCAATGTTGGCCCTTAGCTAGAGTTAAAAAATTATTTCTTCTTGGTTGCAACAGGAGCATTTTGAATGAAGTTTAAAGCTTTTTGGATTCATGTTTTAAGAATAAAGCATTTGAAATGTTACATCCTCTTCACTTCTCACATCTTTAACATGAGAAAGACCAGGAGCAAAAACACTAGCCCCACAACAACTATGAGGAGCCTTTTATTTTTAGCCTTCAACTTTACAACCTCTTCCTCTTTTGAATTGAGTCTTCTAACCAATTGCGGAATTATCATCGTTCAACGATGGCACATAGGTGGGTCCGCCCATTCAAAAAATCTGCAACCTTCTGTCTGTATCAAAACAAGATGAAGCTTAACTTACTTTTTACTGCTTTGAACACAAAAATACATTATCAAATGCCCCCAACAAATAGAAAATGGTAATTTTATTAGCAAAACCCAGCCTAAAATATAAAATACATTTTAATTTTCAAACAAATTTATTATTCAAATGCTATTCTTAAATTTTTAGTTTATTTAGTTAAAAAAGAAGCGAACAATGTAAATTAAAAAGCTGAACTTCTTACTCTGCTTCTAGCGCACACACGAAACCTCCTTCCAGGATCGTTATCAGTCCAAGAAGTTAGAAGAGAAACCTTTTTACCACAATCACACTCCATAAACTTTTGTCTGATCAAGAGCCGTTACTAGCAGATTTTGAAGAATAACTCACTCTCTCGACTTAGTTCAGGAGAAATCTTCAGGTAAAGTTATATGTTCTTCCCCCCCTTTGCAGATCCGATAATAGGCTTGGTATGGTTGTGCACGCACTTAGCGAAGAGCTTTCGTACTCTGGTTTTTTAACTCCAGCTAAGGGCCAATATTGAGTTAGCAAATGAGTTCCAAATAATATACCATGTGTTAGGTGATGTGTCTTTTTCCGACGAAATTGATAAGTTCCGGCAGAGAAGGACCAAAATTGCGCCAACTTATTAGTTACGGGATGTAAATTGCAAGTTAATAAAGTTACAGGACCAATATCGGATATAGCTATAAGTTATGGGACTGAGGATGTTTTTACTTGGACTGTAATTTGCCCCAGACCAGACCAGACCAGTCCAGACCAGACCAGTTCAGACCAGACCAGACCAGACCAGACCAGACCAGACCAGACTTGGATAGTTATAAAAATACAAAGAAACCAGACCTTACCAGACCAGACCAGACCAGTTCAGACCAGACCAGACCAAATCAGACCAGACCAGACCAGACCAGCAAATTACAGTCCCAGTAAAAACATCCTGAATCAACAAATTTCTCTTATTTTAATGATATCCACACCAAACTGTGCAGTATTTTCACATTAGTTATACCTCTTTAGCACGTTTGTTTCGAATTTCGATCCTTATTTCCCCCCTACATTCAATTATCTATCTATTACTACGTACTTCCTATTACTTAGTGGTGGACTGGTCCCGGTGGCCCGGCAAGAGACCGGTTCGGGTAGGCCCGGTCCGGAGGTAATATTGGTCGGTCTTGGGTCACCCAAAATAGGAACCAGCTGGTCCGGGCCCGGTTTGTGCCTTTTTTGTTTTTTCAATTTTTTTTTTGTTTTTCCCGGGTTGGGCTGGGTGTTTGGGGGTGGGGGCTTGGGGGGTCGGGGGGGGGGGGGGTCGGGGGTTAATTAGAAAAGCAAAATAAAAAAATAAAGGGAAAAGGGGCAAATAAGCCCTCGAACTAATAAAAAAAGTGCAAATAAGCCCTTTTGTAGGAGGTTCTGTCCGATCATCGTCATTTGGGGAGGTTATCGGTGGAATTTTTTGATGGTTTTTTTTTGAGAATCTTCTTCATTAAGTCTAGTTTAGCCATACCAAATTTCAGCTAAAAATTCAAACGGGAAGGCACTCAAATGATTTTCGGAAATATACTGCGTTGTTTAACTGCGCAGTTATCTTCAAAAATTGATTTGACTGTCTTCCCGATTAAATTTTTAGCTGAAATTCGGTATGACTAAACTAGACTTAATGAATAAGATGCTCAAAAACTTTCATAAAAAAATTCCACCGGGAACCTCCCCAAATGACGATAGTCGGACGGAACCTCCTACAAAAGGGCTTATTTGCACTTTTTTTATTAGTTCGAGGGCTTATTTGCCCCTTTTCCCAAAAATAAAAAATGAAGAAGCCCGGAGACCGGCCTGTGACCGGCCCAGCCCGGACCGGACCCAGTGGAGGCCCGGGCCCAGGCCAAACCCAAAAAGCTCGCCTAGGACCGGCTCGGAATTGCTTCACAAAACTTTGTTACCATTTCACTTATACTGAAAATCTGAAATGCCAAAACCGTTAAGAGAGGAATAGTCATGGACCCGGGCCGGTTCTGGTTCCGGGCCGGGCTTTTTTTTGGGAAGGAAGGCCCGGGACCGGCTCGGGTATCCACCGGGTCCGGGCCAGGCCTCCGGTTTGGTCATTTTTTTTTGCTTTCCTAACCCCCCCCCACCCCCCCAAACCCCTCCTAACCATCAAGCCCAACCCGGGTAACCCCAAAAAATGAAAAAAAAAAAAATCAATTCAGCCCGGACCCGGGCCCGACCCAGCCGGGCCGGTTCGTCAAATACAAGGCCCGAGCCCGGACCCGCCCCCCCCACCGGGCCTAGGCCCGACCCGGACCCGAGAACCGGGCCGGTTCCGCACAGTAGCGGGCCGGGCCGGGCGGCCCGAACCGTGTCCATGACTAGAGAGGAACATCAACTCTCAGAGGAGTTATGTCTTAAGAGGGCGGAGATGGATTGGAAATTGCATGTTATCTTGTGGACTTGATAATATGAGATGGGTAGGATATTTATTTGGAATTTTTTAAATAAGAAAAAGGAGAAATGGATAATAATAATCCCAACTATTAGTGATATGTTTAAAATAATCCAAAGTATCGATTATATCAAAATAATACCAATAATTGAATAAAAGTCTCTAAATGCTCCAGTGACTCATATTAACCCGTAAATATTACTTCCTATAAGTTATTTATGGGTTTTTATGTCACTGGAGCATTTTGAGAATTTTATTCAATGATTTGGATTATTTGAGATAATCGATATTTTGGATTATTTAGAGCAGATTACTAATTGTTGAGATTATTTTTATCCATCTTTTCAAATAAACATTGTAATTGGTCAATTAATAATAATGCCGCCTCTGTCACATTCAAAAGTTTGTCCACTATTCTCTAATCAATGTAGAGTCTTTTTGATCTTTTACTTTATATGTAACTAACTTTTATTGAATTTGATTTTCTTGTGACTTTAAAACTTTTATTTAATATCTGAATATGAAAATTTTATTTAATAAAAGTAATTTTATTATAGATATAGATCAGTTAATTTTATGATCAATTAATTTTACGGTCAGGCCCGGGCCAAGTCTAGGCCTGGTCGGGCCTTTTGTGGTTGGGGGAAGGACCGAGACCGGCCCGGGTTGCCACCGGGTTCGGTTCGGGCGGGGCCTCGGGCTGGGTTCTATTTTTTTTCTTTCCTAACTACCCCCTGACCCCCCCCCCCCAAACTCCCCCAAAACATCAAGCCCAACCCAGGGAAGCCCCAAAAAACTAAAAAAAAAAAATACAGTTTGAGGCCCGAACCGGGCTCGGTCGGACCGGGTCCCCATTTGAGCAGCCCGAGCCCGCCCCCGCTAAGGGCCTTCAAACCGGGTTAAGGACCGGTTTCGGACCCGAAGCACCGAGCCGGGCCCACACAATAGCGGGCCGGGTGGCCCGATCCGGGTCCATGACTACACGTGAGAATCTTTGTATGAGAGAGAGGTAGTAAATCAATAATGCTTGATCTCACTCTTATACCCACCTTATATTCACCATATTTGTGAAGTGTTTTCTTTTGTCTGTGAAACTAGTTCACAGACAATATTTTGTTTGTGCAAAATATTGTCTGTGAACCGGGGTTCACAAAAAAAACACTTCACAAACATAGGTGGGTACAAAAGTGGGTATAAGAGTGAGTACAAATATCATTTTGGTACATCTAATACAGATAGGAAAAATGCTTGGTGTACACTTTTTAGTGTGCACCTTTCTTACACTCATCTGTTTCACGCACACAGAGTTTCCTATAGAATTGTCTATGTGCGTGAGACAGACGAGTGTACGAAAAATGTACTCAAAGTGTGTACATCTAGCACAACCCTTCGCATAACTTAATAATTCAAACCAACTTATAATGAAAATGACGGGAAGTCACTTCCTAGCATACAATATGATCACTCAAATCACTAAAAGATTCTATCAAATTACCAAATAAAGCTCATTTGGTGGTTATAGTCCTAAAAAGTGCTATAGTATTACAATCTTTCTAATTAGAGTGAAATTTTTTGGTTTAGTCTGATCTGAGCTAATTTGATGACTTGATCCAGTCGAGTAGATGTCTGGTTTTTGCGTATTTTATAGTTGTCCAAGTATGGTCTGGTCTGATCTAGTCTGTTCTGGTCTTAGTCTCTCCGTCTCTCTAGGATGTTTTTACTTGGACTGTAATTTGTCCTAGACCACTGCAGACCAGACCAGACTTGGGTAGTTATAAAAATACAAAGAAACCAAACCAGACCAGACCAACAAATTACAGTCCAAGTAAAAACATCCTCAAACTTTGTCATCTTTCCTTTTGGATGCGCAAAAAACTTTGTCACATTCTCTTTTAGTCAACTAATTTGTGAGTCCTATTATTTTTCTTTCTTCTTCATAAACTTCAATAACATAGTTTTTACTATACTTTATTGTTTTTTGTGTCAGTCTAATTTTGCAAAGTTTTAAGGGACAAGA